ATACTTCAAAAAACACAGCAGAGCTGTAGAAAAGACTGCCATACTAGAACACAAAGACCTGCTTGAGTGAGGGTTTATTCTGAGCTGGCCTACAATTTGTCTAAGTGTTTAAAATATAGTTTTATGTATTTGGGTAGTATTTATGAATGACAAAAAGCTAATGTACTTACTGTAGTCATATCCTGGCCCATAACCATAATACCCATATCCAGAATAGTCGTAGCTGCCATAGCCTCCATAACCTTGCTGGCCATATCCATAACCTTGATTTCCATAACCCTGACTCCAATAGTTGTTGTAGCCTTGATTCCAGTTCTGTCCTTGACCTGTAAGAATGACAATTACAGCTAGGCAACAAACATTTTCATGTTAAGCTCTAATAGCTTTCATTATAATTTTTTAGTAATGAAAGTTTGGCAAGGCAGACTATAGTTGCAGAGAAACATACAGCTTCTTCAAATCCACTATAGATTTTTACATGACAGAAACTTAACCTAAAACATAACTTTGTTGCAAGTTTCCATATCACACAAATACTGTTTACATCAAAACAACTGAACAAACTAAAATATACAGCGTAAAAGGGATAACTATGAAGTGAGTGCTCTTCACTCAACTCATAGTTCCAGCCGACCTGTGACAATGAGACTGTCACAGGTCGGCTCAGTAAATCGGGAGGTGAGCGAACACATACCGGCGTTCGCTCACCTCTCGATCCTGTCACGGCTCTCTGCCATGACAGGGGAGGGGTTGGATTCCCCGCTCCGATCCGTCAGTGCTGACTGGCGGAACGGACGGGGGAGGGGGCGGGCCTTTAGCTAGGCAGAGCCAGCTGTCAGTCACGACAATTGTCGGGATCCGCTTCAGCTGCGGCGTCTCAGTATACAGAGAGCTACAGCTCGCGGTATACTGAGCCTAGGGTGACGGGAGGACCTAGTTTGGGTCCTCCCGTTACCCCAAGGAGAACTATGGGGAAAAGACTTAACCCCATAGTTCTTCTTTAAAGAAGGTAAATTACAAAATTAACCCTTGCAGTGGGGCTAACATACACACGTGTAAATCTGATCGGCAAGTGAGGCGACCTCTGTGTCCATTTTAGAAAGCTCAGTGTTGCATGTAGTGTTGTATGTAGTTTCTTCAGGTCACCTTGCCTTTGATGTGGTTCTCATGCATTGTGATAGCCTGGTTTACTTGGCAAAGCTGTACCTTGACCTCTATTACCAAAAGCATGTAACTCAAGGAATTTGTGGATATCTTGCACCACTTCTCCCAAAGTCGTGTTTGTGCAGTCAGATCGTAGGTTGATTCTGTATACAGAACCCCTTGGAAAACCTTTTAGGACAGTAGTATTCAGAGAGTGTAAGATCATGTAGTTCCAAGTCCACACATTAGTTTTTAATCTCTTGAGGTCTTGGAACAGGTCAGAGCTTGAATCAGAGCCAAAAGGCAGCATGTGACGTCATGGGATGGTTCTGTGTGTGCTCACCATATTAATGTTGAATTTGCATGATTGTGGTTGTCACGGTTTCCCTGAAGGGACCCTGCATGGCCCCAAAACTTTAGCTTAATGACGCTTGTGACAGTTCAATAGAAGTGTTTATACTTCTTGCACATATTTTCAAGTGCTGGTGAAATCTATTACGGACTGAATCTTTCACGGCGCCATCCATGTGGTCAGTTCAAGCACCAAACTTCTGTCATTGAAGGTATGGAGTGCAGGAGAGTTCTCCATACGCATTTCTATTTGTTGCCATTTGATTGTGTGTGAAAGCTCTGCCTCTCCGCTAGAGCGCTCGGGCTCTGACGAGCTCTCGCTCTCTGCCAAGCTCTCGCTCGCTCTCTGCCAAGCTCTCGCTCGCTCTCTGCCAAGCTCTCGCTCGCTCTCCAAGCTCTCGCTCTGTTAGAGCTGACCTGTCAATGAAACGGTCACACATCCGCTTTATAGATCAGGAAGTGAGCAAATCCATACCGTCGCTTGCTCACTTTCCAATCATCTCCCTGCAGAGAGCCGTTACTGTTAGTCACAGCTGCCCCCAGGCATTCCTGCAGCGCCGACTGGAGGAACGGATGGGGTGGGCAGAGCCCACTTTCAATCATCTAGCTGGGTAGATCGACAGTATTGTCGGGATTCGTCCCGGCTGTGGCGCTCTCAGTATATACTGAGCTTTGGGTTACGCCGGCTGCTAAGACATCGCCGGCTGCTTACATTTTTGTTTCCCGCTTGTGCGGGGCGGCACGCACAAGCAGCAAGAAGGACTTCAATTACAACGGCTGGACGGGACACGCGAATGCAAGTGGGCGTTTAAGGGGTTAAAGAATGCTTTGTCAGTATTGTGCTAAAGGCTTATAAGCCGATTTTAAATTACCTTTTCCACCTCGCGTACCTCTTCCACCAAAGCCTCCTCGACCACCATACTGCTGCTGATAAACTTCTTTGGGTTGAGCTATCTTTATTTCACACTAGAGAAAAAAAAAAAAAAAATCCGTAAGTTCCTAACAGTGTTTTGTAAACTGCAACCCCTATTCATTCTCTCTCCTCCAATACCACTGCCACCAACTCCCGCCCCCCAGGTTTGTAGCACAAAACGGGAAAGCAGCCTACGGTAACTATTACACTCCACTGGAAGATCTAGTAAGGGCAAAAATCAGACTGAAGTGATCGACACCAAAAAAAAAAAAAAGCCACCTTTTGAGGGTCAGGAAGATCCCTCATGTTCTCACAAGGAGAGTCATGCAAAACCAACAGCACTAGATTCAGGTCACACTGAGGCAACGGAGACAGGAGGCACAATATGAGTAACCCTCCCTAACAATGTCCAAACCTAGGATCACCGTTAAAAATAGTAAAGGACAAAATGTAACACTTAATACTCAAAGCCAATCCTTGATATACCCTACACTCAACGACAAGACTCTAGCCATAAAAAATAAAATCAATTTAACAAAAAGTAGGAACCTTCAGGGACTCACAACAAGCAACATAAGCTTCCCAAGTAGGGTGATCAATTTTATTGGAAGCAGCCTTGAGCATAGTGTGGGATCACCCCTATCGGACAAACCAGTCTCAGGCAGTTAAAGCAGGTTGAAGGAAGGGACTTCGAGGAAGATCTAGCCAGAGTGGAAGATGCCAGGGGGTATGAGCTAACAGACAAACTATGTCTGTACGAGGACCTCCATGGCCAGTTCGCAGCCATTAGAATGACTGGAAACCCCTCTGCTCCATCCTGAGAAGATGCGGCAGAACAGGCACTGGATCTCCCAGTACCTCGGGACCCGGCCTTCTTCCTCCTACACCATAATGACATACCGACCAAGGCCTACAAACGATCCGTCGTACGCCACCTAGTCAACGCAGCCCGCGCGTGTGTCGCAGCCATATGGAAGAACACCCGAACCACCAACCATAACCCAATGGCTCGATAGGATACATGACATATACCTAATGGAAGACCTTACCAACTCCCTCCATAACACCCCAGACAAGTTTAAAAAGACCTGGCTCTACTGGATTGAGTTCCTCCACTCTCCAGCATATGAAGCCCTGCGTCAAGGTCCCGTTACCACCCTCTCCCCCTCTTCATCCCCTGATATACTTCACTGCAGGCCTCTGATATAGTGTTGTGACCCCGACCCTCCTGAGGGCTTCAGGTGTCCTGCTCCCGCACTTGATACTATCCCAGCTCCTTATACACTATGGAGACCGACGGTAGAAGTCTTGCATCTCCGCCCCTCTGCCATCATCTGGGTCTGTATCAGTATCACTATGGAAAATTGTAAGGTCTCACTTGGGCAACGGCCATCTAGTGGAGTGTGCTTATAGGAAAAAGGTAGAACCCTGTTCCAAGTCTATAGACTGGGATTAGCTGACCAAGCTACCTAGAAGTGCAACATGAGGCAGGCACCCCCATACAGGGACCCTCAAAAATGACCTTGTCTGAAAAACATTGGCCAGGAGATTAACACAAAAGAGCTTGTACCACATCCACACCATGGAAAGAATCTCCCTGGGATGAGCAGGGAAGGAGGAAAGGAAACACAATGTCCTGGTTCAGGTCTTCAAGAAAAGACTGTACTATAGCTGACAGAATCAGGCCAAATCTCCACAGTCACAGGTGGCTGTACCAGTGGAGTCAGAAAAACCCTGAACAAAATAAACTTTAGAAAAAAAAAAATACAATAAAAAAGCAAGCGGACTTAGACAATGAATTGCTAGCCGAGATCTGCCCTTTGAGACATACTTCAGGCCAAATGTTGATCTAGACCAGGCTGGAAGAAATCCCATGGAGCATTTCCTAGGATAAATTTTCCCTAGAACTGACTACCAAGAGTGGTGTTCAACATTGTTAGTGGTGATTTTGGCATCTGAGGAACAAAGGAATAACAGAAATCAGACAGGCCCTAGATTGCAGAAGCCAAGCTGAAAATCCATTTAAATTTTTCATAGTCCTGCATGCGTTTTCTGTAGAGGAAAGACCCAATCTCGCAGGTTGTGGTCCCGGAAGACTGGGGAGGGTTATTATAGCCAGATAAAAGTTGAAAGTGCATAAAAAAAAAAACCCACACCCTAAAAATACTGCTGCCACCAGATCTATAGACTGGTAAGCTGCTCTACACAGCATGTTTATTTTTGGGTTGAGATGCGCTTTAACTAGATAGCTACTTTACTTTACCTAGCAGAAAAAGAGGGAAACACTGCATAAAGGTTTTAAAACCCTAGAAGTATACTAGTCAGTCATTCTACTCCGAACATTACATAGTGATTGTCTAATACAGTTTCCAGCACAAAAAAAAAAAAAATCACAGCTTTGCATTTCCCATTTTGTTGCATTACCAACCGAAATTAAAAAAGGAGAATTCTAGGGCGAGTAAAACATTTATCCCCATCAAGCGGTCACAGGTCGGCTCTATTGATCGGGAAGTCAGCGAGCACACACACGATCATCTCCCTGCAGAGAGCAGTGACTGTTAGTCACCACATCCACAGGTACTCCTCCACCCCCCACAGCAGCACTGACTAGAGAAATAAACAGGGGAGGGGGTGGGCACAGCTGGCTCTAGAGGCAGAGCTAGCCGTCAGTCAGCAGGGTGAATCTTGATCCTGTGCGGATAGAAGGTCCCGTCAATTCTTGAACACCCTCAGATAATTTTCTGGGACAATTAGTGAAAACGCCCACTAGAAAAAAAAAATGCTCTGGTGGATTTAAGAATCAACAACTCAGATCCGATTGCAAATGTGGAAATCAGGTTGAACCTGGAGGGCAGTAACCATAGAATGATAACGTTCACTATAAATTTCAGGAAACAGACATGTCAGCATGACTCGAACACTCAATTTTAGGAAGGCTAACTTTAATAAACTGAGAAACACAGGAGACAAACAGGGATGCAATCTTCCCAAATACGAACACTGAAGAATAATGGGATAGTTTCAAGGAAATCTTAAAGTGCATACCATTTACCAATAAATTCAAAAATGGGAAGTTAGACCAGGGTGGTTAGCTGGCACGGTAAAAAAAAAAAAAAAAGTCAGAGGGGTCAGCATCTGCATTCAAAAACCTACAAGGATTGAAACAAAAATGTTTTAAAAGAGCAATCAGGACTGCAAAAATAGAATACGGAGAGCAGATTGCAGCAGAAAGCAAACAGCAGAAAGCAAGAAATTATTTAACTATATAAACCGCAAAAGGGTAAGGACATGTAAGCCCAATAACAGGGGAGATTAGCTACCAGTGACTGAGAAAGCGAACGTGCTAATTTTCTTCGGTTTTTACAGATGAGATGGACATGGGATGAGATGGACCAGGGCATCAGCTGCAGGAGCAATAATAAAAGTGAACATCTCAGTGGGTGCAAGAGAGCAGAGTGGTACAGAGGCTAGAAAGATTAAATGTAAACATATAGACGGGACCTGATGGGTTACATCCAAGTATACTCAAGGAAACTTGGCCATGTCATAGGCAGACCACAGTACATAATCTTTATGGACACTAATGACTGGTACAGTAAAGGCTGATGGCAGAGAGCATGTGTGGTACCAATATACAAAAAGGGGAAACTGAGTTCACCTGGTAACTATAGGCCAGTCAGCTTAGCATCAATATTGTGCAAAATATTCAAAGGCATGACAACGGACTACATGCAGGAATTTGCGAATAAAACTGGTTTCATGAAGGACCATTCGTGTCAGACCAATCTATTAACTTTTTTGAGGTCAGTACTAAATTTAGACAATAGGAACACCAGTAGATGCGGTGCATCTGGACTTTGCTAAAGCTTTTGATACAGTACCCCACAAACGTTTGATTCATTCCATACATGGGTGGAAAACTGGCTGCAAGAACGGACCCAGAGCGTAGTAATAAATGGGTCACTCTAATTGGGCACGTCCAATTGGGCAGGGGTCACTCTAATTGGTCCTGGGACCAATCCGGTTCATCCTATTCATCAACGATATAGACCTTGGGATAGATAATTCGTATTCCATTTTGCCAACAATAGAAAATGGTGTAGGGCAGTAACATTCTAAAACACAATGGATGTTGGCATCTACCCACTGCCAGTATTTGTTCATGTATGTTTTACCTTATCAATAAAAATTATACATGCTTAAAATTTTTTTTTATAAAAACAGGAGATATGTGCACTTCAACAAGACCGGGATAAAATTGAAGCATGGGCTTCTACTGAGATCCACGCTGCATTAAGCACTGCCCGAGCCCTCCCCTTCCTCCTGCGCCCAAAACGAGGCTTGGAACGCACAAGCCCGGAAATGACGCCACCCGCGCCGGAAGTGACATACGCGGCCACCCGGTCTGGCCGTGGAACACTCTCCCGAGGCCCTGAGAACCGGACAGACCCCTCTGAACGGCGGTCCACCGATTCCCCTGACCTAGCCAAGGGGGTTTAGTCCTCCCGGTCCCGGCCCGCACTGGGAACTGAAGGGGGAAAGGAAGCCAGCCTCATCTCCTGACAGCGCTAGGAGAATCCCTGGGGCTCACACAAGGTAGGTAAACCTACACCATCTGCCACACATAGGCAGCCATTAACAAAAGGAGACTTCCCGGGCAGCATCACCACATGGAAGCCCCTCTCAGCGTTCTGTGACGCGCTCCCCAGCTTGACTGAGGAAACACAAAAGACTGAGGGAGGAGAGGAGGGTCTTTTAAGCAAATTAAGTGATGTGTTTCCTGTGTGTGGGGGAGGAGATTCCATCTCGTGATGCTGTCCTGGAAGACGTTATGGGAAATTTTACGTTATGCTCATGGGTGCAAACAAGTGCGCAAACTATATTGGGGGGTATGCATTAGGGAAGACCTGGAAAGGGACCTGGGGGTGTTCATAGATCACAGATTTGGCACTGGCATGCAATGCCAAGCAACAGCTAGCAAAGCAAACAGGATACAATCCTGCATTAAAGAGAGATTGTTAGCAAGGGATAAGAGAATACTTCCACTTTATAA